TAAAGGTGTTCAATAATAATGGAATTGTTCCTTCAGTATTATCCCATTTGAATATTTGTAATTTGGAACTTTCTACTTTAAACAGTTCTCTTCCCTTGTACTTAACACCTTATCTATTGTTAACTCCTAATTGGATATTAAAGCCAATGTTAAATAATTTTTATGATTTTTTAAATGTTGAATCACATCCTGTATTAAAAATGTCTGATGATTTCAAAAGCGGACGTAAAACCGAAATCGAAGAATTACAAGGTGAAATAATTAAATTGGCGAATAACAATAAATTAATTAAACCCAAATATAATGAAGGAATTTACCAATTGGTTAAATTGGTGGAAAAATCAATGTTTGATACTCAAGAAGGTTGGAAGATTGCTTTCACTTATGAGGAAGTTATGGCTTATATTGATCATGGTGAAATATCAAAAGTTTTATTTTAAATGTATTTCTACAAATCATTTATAAAATAGAGTTGAATCAAACAACAAACTTGGTTTATTTTTTATGTATTTTATTCTTTTATTAATAATAGATTTTCATGTATATTTTTAGACTGATTAACAATATTGTATAATTTTTACTTTTTTTCTTTCTTTTTTTTTTTTCTTCTTGTCTTGAATTTTATTAAACATAAAGGAGTTTGGTTATAATCATAATGAGTAAAAAAAATTAATTTATATATATATATGTATATCCACAATTGGCAATAATGAATTTTCCAAAATAAGAAAAAAAAAAGAATAATTTAAATTGATATTTTACTTGTTATCGGAAAATATTATTATATCCTTCGGCGTCTTTTTTGTTCCGGAGCAGAAACTTTAGATGATGACTCGGATTCTAATTTATCATCAGCATTATTTTCTGATATCGAAGCATTAGTTGTCACTGTAGAAGCCTCTTTCAGTCGTTGACGTATTGAAAGAACTGTGGATGATTGAGAATCCTACGAAAAATGACCAATCATAATATAAGCAAATTTCTTTAAATAATATTAAACTTGAGATTTTTCATACAGTTTGATAATTACTTCTGATTGTATATATGGTGTTTGGTTAGAGATAGAAGCAAAACTTGTCGATTGATAATCAATACCAGGTACCGGAGGTTCCTGACTAGGTTTTAAAAATTAATTCAAAATAATAATAATAAATTTATTTCTAAAATCATTAATTAATTCCAATTAATTTATGAAAATTTCCCAACCTTTGATAATTCGAATAATTGTAATTAGAATAATAATTTGAGTAATTATAATTGTTATAAATATAATTACTATATTCATGAACGGAAGGGAAATTTTGAACTAATGGTACTGGAAATGCTGTGGGAGGTAAAGGTGGTGTAAAGGATGTAGGATGTGTGGAAGACTCAGAAAATGATGAAAGATTTGGATTAACTAAAATAATAAAAACAATTAGAAAATATTATTATTAAATTGAAGACATTATAAGAATTAATAAAAATTAATCTTTACGTTCTGTACTTTCTGTCTCTTTTTTTTTTCTGTATTTTTCATCTTTTCTCTCATGAGTTTTTATAGCGATCACTTTACGTCTATCTTCTAATTTTTGACGTGTATCTTCAATAGTTTCATATTCGGGTCCATAACGAACTCTCAAGTGATTGGCAAAAAAAACATGATCATCAACTTTTCTTTTTCCTACCCTGAAA